ACCCTTTCTGTGGTCCAATTGTGTTTTAATAGAAACCCATATCGTGGCTTATGTGGGTGATGTGGTTTATATTAGTTTGAAAAATATGTGCATCCAAGGTACGTAAATGTTCTAGTTGAGTTTGTCATGTGTGTGAGTCATGTGGACAACAGACTATTTTCCGGATGGAATGAAGGTCTCTCTTGTTCCCTTTAGACATGGAATGGCTTCATGGGGGAAGTATTCAATTCAGTGTGGCGCCGAGCCTTGGTTTATGACATTCCTGACTACATTTATATTATGACGCCTCTGTTTTCCCATCAGGCGTGGGTCTCCAGTGGATAATTTTCTTCAGTGGTGGTGGTGGTGCTTGTGGTTGTTGAGATGATGGTAGTATTTGTGGTGGGGGTGGTAGTGGTTGTCGTTCAAGTGATGGTAGTGGTACAGGTGGTGGTGGTGGTGATTGTGGAGGTGTCAGTGCATTCTACTGATATCAGTTGTGAAATTCACTTCCATCCATCCACAACTTTAAGACCTGGTTCGACCAAGACTTGAATGTCAGAATAGAACAATAATTAGGCAACAAGTACAACAATTGTACAACAATTGGCTGGGGATACTGAACTAGACCTCACGTCACCGTAGATACTGACAGATAAGTACGACAACCACCATCAAGACCACCACAATCACCACCCGTACACCTACCATTACTTGAACGACTATCACCAGCACTACTATCACTACCACAACACATACTACCATTATCTCAACAACCACCATCACCACCACTACTGTCACTGAGGACAATTTGGCGATGGCAGAACTGGCGGTGGCGCTGCTGGTGGTGGTGGTGGTGGTGGTGATGGAGGTGGTGGTGTGGGGGTGGTGGTTAGTGCTGTTCGTGGTGGTGGTGGTGGTGTGTTAGTGATGCTGTTGTTGGTGGTGGTGGTGCGTGGGTGGTGGTGGTGGTGGGTGGTGGTAGTGCTATTGATGGTGGTGGTGTTGGTGGTGATGGTAGTGCTGTTGGTGGCGGTAGTGGTGGTAGTGCTATTGTTGGTGGTGGTGGTGTTGGTGGTGGTGGTGGGGGTGGTGGTAGTGCTGTTGTTGGTGGTGGTGGTGGTGTTGTTGTTGTTGTTGTTGGTGGTGGTGGTGGTGTTGTTGTTGTTGTTGTTGGTGGTGGTGATGGTGGCGATAGTGGTTGTAGTGATAGTACTGGTAATGATAGTGGTGGTGGTGTGATGGTGGCGATAGTGGTTGCAGTGATAGTAATGGTAATGATAGTGGTGGTGGGTGATGGGGCGATAGTGGTTGCAGTGATAGTAATGGTAATGATAGTGGTGGTGGTGATGGTGGCGATAGTGGTTGCAGTGATAGTAATGGTAATGATAGTGGTGGTGGTGTGGTGGCGATAGTGGTTGCAGTGATAGTAATGGTAATGATAGTGGTGGTGGTGATGGTGGCGATAGTGGTTGCAGTGATAGTAATGGTAATGATAGTGGTGGTGGTGATGGTGGCGATAGTGGTTGCAGTGATAGTAATGGTAATGATAGTGGTGGTGGTGATGGTGGCGGTAGTGGTTGCAGTGATAGTAATGGTAATGATAGTGGTGGTGGTGATGGTGATGATGATGGTGGTGGTGATGGTGATGATGATGGTGGTGGTGATGGTGATGATGATGGTGGTGGTGATGGTGATGATGATGGTGGTGGTGATGGTGATGATGATGGTGGTGGTGATGGTGATGATGATGATGGTGGTGGTGATGGTGATGATGATGGTGGTGGTGATGGTGATGATGATGGTGGTGGTGATGGTGATGATGATGGTGGTGGTGATGGTGATGATGATGGTGGTGGTGATGGTGATGATGATGGTGGTGGTGATGGTGATGATGATGATGGTGGTGGTGATGGTGATGATGATGGTGGTGGTGATGGTGATGATGATGGTGGTGGTGATGGTGATGATGATGGTGGTGGTGACAGTGCTGGTATAAGTAGTGGTGGGTGTAATAGTGATAAAAAGGGGTAGATTATTGCTCATATATTCCTATCAATTCACACAAATGTGGTAAAAGCTAAATCTGACCTGAAAGAACAGGTTGGGCAACCAGGATCCATCAACTCTGCTAGAGAGAAGAGCATTTTCTCGAGGTTATCTTGAGATGATTTCGGGGCTTTAGTGTCCCCGCGGCCCGGTCCTCGACCAGGCCTCCACCCCCAGGAAGCACCCCGTGACAGCTGACTAACACCCAGGTACCTATTTTACTGGTAGGAAACAGGGGCATAGGGTGAAAGAAACTCAGCCCATTGTTTCTCTCCGGCGCCCGGGATCGAACCCGGGACCACAGGATCACAAGTCCAGTGTGCTGTTTGCTTGGCCGACCGGCTCCTTGCCGGTCTTACTTGATCATTCCACATAAGATAATAAAACACACACAATGTCGTGTGTGTTTGCTTTTGTAAACAAAACATTCCACTTGCCCATTCACATCTTGCATTTACAAAAAAATCAAAGACCATTAAACCCGAGGTTTGGCTTCATCAAAGGCAAACAACTGTCCTCAACCTCCCATATTTGGATTCACCCACTCTGCTAGTGCTCTGTAATTTTGACTTTTAACCACCAAACCATTTAGGCTGAAAACTTATGAAAAAAAAAGAAAACGAAATTGCGTTTTTTTACGTTCTTTGTTGACCTGGCTGTGGAAGGGCGGCTAGAGCGGGTTTTTAATTGTTTTTATTGAATCTCATGCCATTGTAGGCGCTGGAATAGGAGCTTTTTTGTCGCTGTCTGTCTGCTATGCTACTTTGTTTACTGTGTGGTTGGCTTAAATGTCTTCTCGGGGTCCTAGTTTGCTAGTTGCGTGGTTTGCTGCATAACTAGTTGAAGGTTTGGCTATTAGGAGGTCAAATACCTGAGTATGCTTCACATGTGCCTGGCTAGTATGTACATAGCTGAGAATGTTGGGTTATTGGGTGAAAAACTGGCTGACAGGTTGGCTGATTGACTGGCAGATTTTGGCTGATTGGTTGGCTGGTAGTATGGCTGGTCAGCTAGTAGTGTGGCTGGTCAGCTGGTAGTATAGCTGGCCAGCTGGTAGTATGGCTTGTCACCTGGTAGTGTGTGACTGTTTGTGTGGTGGGATGTCTGATAGAACATATGATTGACTGAGAGTCTTATTTGTTGAAATAATAATAATAATAATAATAATAATAATAATAATAATAATAATAATAATAATAATAATAATAATAATAATAATATTATTATTATTATTATTATTATGTTTAATCATTATTAATAATAATAATATTAATATTTGTATTAAAGTAATAAGAACATATTATCAATACTAATACTAACTTCCCGCGAAGAGACCAGTGAGGGTAGTGGGTGAGGACCGTTCTTACGGCACCTCTTCTATGACATCCTACAGGTAATACCAGTGGCTGGTGTGCTCAGGTGTACGGTGTGCTTGCGGGGGTTGAGCTCTGGCTCTTTGGTCCCGCCTCACATCTGTCAACCAACTGGTGTATATATTCTAGAGCCTACTGGGCTCTATCATATCTACATTTGAAACTGTGTATGGAGTCAGCCTCCACCACAACACTGCTTAATGCATTCCATTTGTTAACTACTCTGACCCTGAAAAAATTCTTTCTAATGTCTCTGTGGCTTATTTGGGTACTAAGATTCCACCTGTGTCCCCTTGTTCGTGTCCCACCCGTGTTAAAGAGTTTGTCTTTGTCCACAATTTCAATTTCCCGGAGATATTTGTAGGTGTCTTCCCCTACTCTTCTGTTTTCCAGGGACGTGAGATTCAGCTCCCTTAGCCTTTCCTCGTAGCTCATACCTCTCACTTACGGTGCGAGTCTGGTGGCATACCTCTGAATCCTCTCTAACTTTGTCTTGTGTTTAACTAGGTATAGACTCCAGGCTGGAGCTGTATATTCCAGGATTGGTCTGACATAAGTGGTATACAGGGTCCTGAACGATTCCTTACACAAGTTTCTAAAGGCAGTTCTTATGTTGGCCAATCTAGCATGTGCCGTAGTTGATATCCTTTTGATGTGGGCCTCTGGGGGACAGAAGTTCGTTTAACCAAAAATTATTGTGTGTACTGATGGCTGTAAGAGGAATTTTTAATAATATGCGATTGAAGATGAAAATTTCATGCGTCACCTCTTAAAACTGCATTATCGTGGGACGACAGTGGCTAGCTACTCCCCCCTCCTCCCCCTTGATGTGAAGAGTGACACACAAACTTTCATTTATCCCATTTAGAGAGAAAATAGATGAACCTCGACCTCTCACAAGACTGGATAAACGTACAGAACCCATTTAACCGACACAACACATCTCGAAACCTTCCTTTTTGACTAACAGTCGCGTGGCAAATGTAGAAGTGTAATGATAACTGGTCAGTTGTGATGATATCCGGTCAATTGACCCAAACTCTTCTGATAGGTAATGCTTATCATGACGATTGTCTGGCAAGGCTGCCTGTGTGTAAAGTTCCTCTCTACTGTTTAAGTGGTAGAGACCGACATATGGGTTCTCTAGTCGTCTACCTGCAACCCGTTCTCGCACTTGCTTATAGTCAATATTGGCTTATTTAATAAGTGCATATGTGACATACTAATTGATTGTGAATATTTTAGTTTACCTTGAAAAGCTTCATAGAGAACACCGACCTCACCTAACCTTCTTAGTATGTTAAGATAAGCATCTTATTGCTTCTTAATTACAACAATTACTTAACTTATACCGTTGATTGGTTAAGTAATAATTGTAAATAAGAAGCAATAAGATGCTTATCTTAACATACTAAGAATATACCTGACCTACCAGAGCACAACCACAGATGGCCACGTGTGTCTAAGCTCGAAGTCCTTCCTTCTCTCCTAAGCTTGACACTTCCTGAGAAAACAAACAAAATCTTGGTACTGAGCTTATATTAAACTATGTGTCGTGTGACTGCTTTCTGTTACTAACGAGAGTGCGTTCCTCCACAGACAAGGAGTGCGTGGACCTGGACAACCCGCTCTCAGGACACGTGGACGTCAAGGGCAAGGTGGTGGGCTCCGTCGCCACCTACAAGTGTCAAGAGGTACGTACAGGCCTTACAGGAACCTGGAAGTGGGCACAGGGTATTATATGTTTAAGGAAGTTGGTCCATTATTTCATGTGTCAGCGGTGAGAGTGCTGGTGTTATAGATATCAGAAGTAAGAGTGCTTATATTATAGATATCAGAAGTGAGAGTGTTTGTATTATAGATATCAGAAGTAAGAGTGCTGGTGTTATAGATATCAGCAGTAAGAGTGCTTGTATTATAGATATCAGAAGTGAGAGTGTTTGTATTATAGATATCAGAAGTGAGAGTGTTTGTGTTATAGATATCAGAAATGAGAGTGTTTGTGTTATAGATATCAGCAGTAAGAGTGCTTGTATTTTAGATATCAGAATTTTTTTTTTACATTATCAGAAGTGAGAGTGTTTGTGTTATAGATATCAGCAGAATGAGTGCTTATATTATAGATATCAGAAGTGAGAGTGCTTGTATTATAGATAACAGAAGTAAGAGTGCTTGTATTATAGGTATCAGAAGTGAGAGTGTTTGTGTTATAGATATCAGCAGTGAGAGTGCTGGTGTTACAGATATCAGCAGCACAGGTGTTTCCAATGTCAGGAGGTATTATAGGTATTACCGGTGTCAGGAGATAAGTACGAGAATAGCAAGTATTAGGAAGTGAGAACATTGAGACAAGAGGTTAACATGTTATATTACAAAGAGTCACGAGACATGCACAGATGTCACCTGAGTTTAGGTGTTCCAGATGACAGAAGGTAATTGCATGTGTCTGGAGGCAAGGAAAATTAAATTAATTAACAAATTAATTAAAAAAATTAGGAAGAAATTGAAGTTATGATTATGCTGTAAGATGGATGTTCCCTGATTGAAGTCTTAAACACATACTAGTTGAACACATACTAGTATCATGCAAATAGGACATAAATCTTTTATTTAAAATTATGGACTCATTCGAAGCTTTCGCTAACGATTAATTTTAAGAGACAGCAGTTATTTTTTAATACTTTGAAATCGAAACTATCCAATCAGAAATGGCTCTGTTTAAGCTGACCAATCAGTGGACCGGAGATGTGAGCCAATGGAAGACCATAATTGGGAGCCACGAATATCGGTTCAGCGAGAGTTAGCAGTTTCATTTAACTGACGTAGGAGAAGTTAGGCTGGCTATTGGTAGATCGACGCCCAGTTGAAGCTCGTGTGCATGAATGGCCAATTGGTTGAATAATGTCGAAGAGCGTTGATATGTTGAGCATGACTTCATCTCTAAGAGTAAAAGAAATGTGGGACACAGAATGAATCCAAGGCCATCTGCATTGTTTCATAGGATTGTTGTACTGGACACTGCAGGTGTTTCTGACCGGGTGTGGTACAACTGACTTCTGGCTCAGCTTGAAGCACAGCTTACGCAAAGATCCCTTCCCACAGATAATAAAACACTACACGAGTCCAACGTAAGACTAGACTTTAATAAAATCGCATCTGTAAGTTACTCAGCTGGTGCCAGCGTACCACATGGTTGTGTTCTTAGTCCCTGGCTGTGAAACGCTTTCTTCAAGAATCAATTACCTCTCAAAGATTAAGCTCTAGCCTATTCTGATAGATGTTCTCCAGCACTTACATATTCAAGAGTGTAAATTCTGTCTGCACAGAGGTTCATTAATTAAAATTTTAAGCCAATTTCTGTTTTAGGATAGTCGATGGCAGGTTACATTAGCGAAAGAGGAAACATAGCTGATTACAACTTAACAGGATAAATGCTGAGTCTGGAACAGACTTGCGGATAAGTAATGCTTCATAATGAACCTTCATGTGGAAACGTTTGACCCTCGATGTTTATGACAAGTCATGTGCTGAGTTTAACAAGCTGGTAGGCAGAGCTGAATGAGGGAAAGTCAAGAGGTCCGGGAAGCTGCTTACATCTTAGTCTAATCTTATCTGACTATTGCTCTCTCTCTCTCTCTCTCTCTCTCTCTCTCTCTCTCTCTCTCTCTCTCTCTCTCTCTCTCTCTCTCTCTCTCTCTCTCTCTCTCTCTCTCTCTCTCTCTCTCTCTCATCCCTGAGGGAGCAGAATCTCCATCTTCAAAGATTGGAAATAAATCTCGTGCTGCCATGAGTTGATCTCACTGATGGGGGAGAGTCTAAGACCCACCTGTGGCTCCTGTTGGATATTAAGGGTGTTTCAGGGTGCTTCGTGAGCCACGTGAGTGCTCCTGCATGCTGGTGAGTCTATCTTGGTGTTTAGAATTAATCATAAAAACTTTTGTGTTGTTTGTAGAAGCTAATTAACCTTTGTATATGTTTGGAAGTCATTATAAAAGCTGTGTGTGTGAGTTTGTATATGAATTTGTGGTTGCTTGTGAGCGCTATTGAACACTTCTTTATTCATGAGTGGGATTGTTGAACACTTCCAGATACTGCTAGGCGCTTTTGAGTACTTGTGAGTACTTTTATGGAACATTTGTCTCAATGATTCTGTTTGTACGTGCTCACAAGTATTTGTTTAGTGCAACAAGCCGC